TAAGTAAGTGACCTACGTAAACTGTCAAAAAATATGAATTATTATTTTTGCATGACATATTAATTGTATATTGTGTGCGCGACCATGTGACTCATTAAATATGCAATGAGAGGAAGTGAGACAGGGGCATTCTTTACGTGATGGTTGCTACGTACACTTTAATGATGACTATAAAAATACCGCTAAGAAAACAGAAAAATGGTAATCAGGTAATAAATAAAAAAACGAAATCTTCCGCGCAGAAATGACAGTGCATTTTTTCTTTGCCTTCATTTTTGGTGGTCATTTACATTTCCTTTTCATCGAAAGCCGCATCGAAATACACGTCGATTAAAAAACAGTTGGAAGCGTATGGTAGAACGCATGGAATTCTAATTGCCATCTTCCATCAATATATTGATCTCTGACAATTGAATTCATAATTTGGGATTCCGAAATGCTTAGTTTGACTTTGAACAGGATTCGCCTGTTCTCCCAGTGGAGGTTTTACCTATGCGTTTTTCCCTTTTTGATGTTAGTACCGACATGTTGCATTTTGTTTATTTATCGTTAGGTTTCGACTCTAATTTGTTGTAATGTAATTTCCATCTACAATCTACATCCTATCTAAGAGGTCGGTAAATTTTATGTCATCGAAGAAAGGGGAATTGATTTCTTTTATGGCTCAAGTTCAAGTTCCATACTTGTTCAACGTATTAGTTTTGTAACTTTGGGTTAAACTCACGGTTATTGCGGGTGCCGACGCCCTTAGCTTATCTCCACATCTGCTGATAGCAAGGGGCCATTTTGGTGCGAAACTAGTATCAGAAATAAGTCAGCGGGTCACGAAGGAGATATTAACATCGAGGATCGACCCTCATATGGGACAATTCCCGTAACCCTTTAGTGTCGTAGTTGATAACTATTTTGTCCCTTTAGGATTATATGCGAGTACATTTAAACAATTTGTGAACATCAGTACTTGCTCAGTATGTTTTCCATCTCGGTTAAGTTTTGGTCGGGTTTGGAACACGAATGTTGTTGGAGCCCACCACTTCCTTTATGAAGTTGGTGGCCATTGAAGTATCGTACCCGGTATAGACGCAGATTACGAGCAGAGCGACGCCCTTCAGGCATTAATTAACTAATTATATACCGAGTCCTGCGGCTTTGAGGTTTTTTCTTTTATTGTTTTCAGGATTGGATGAGAGAACTGAGTTCACCTCTTGGCTTCAACAGTTAGCTCTATTCAATTGTTTCCATCGACACTCCCAATGCAATTTCTCTCTTATGATGCAGGAAACAGTCCTGCGTCCAACACGGAAGGAGAAGTAGTACAGTAAAATAACCTCTGAAATGCGACAAAAAAAAATATCTCAGTATAACTAAATGAGATATATATCATCTTTTAGGGAATTTTAAGCCCTATCCCAATTAAATAATTACAACTTTTTTTAATAGGGCACATTTTTGTAAATTAGCAAAATGTAACGTTTTGGAGGCGAGTCAATATTAATTTTTTTTCTAAAAACTTTTTAAATGTTTTAACGTTATTTGGTACGATATATATAGCTACGTACTTTTATTATTTAAACAAGTTGCTCGCATGTCGAAAATTTCAATACCCAATTTGTCGATGCCGTGGTTTATCAATTATTTAAACAAAAGCTGTTAGCGATACAGAAAAAATTGAATTGCTATCATGTGCGCTGTACTTTCTTCTATATTTGAAAGCTATAGCTCAATTAATAAAACTTATAAAGGGAGTTAAATCAATGAAAACGTGAATATTGACTCGCCTCCAAAACGTTACATTTTGCTAATTTACAAAAATGTGCCCCATTAAAAAAAGTTGTAACTATTTAATTCGGATAGGGCTTAAAATTCACTAAAAGATGATATACATCTCATTTAGTTATACTTCGGTAAAATTTTTCTCCTAAACTAAGCGAGATACGCGCTCGATTTTACTGCACTAAAGGCAATAATTATGTGAATTCCCTGTACCCATATATCTGAAACAAACAAAATAAAATTTTTTTAAATTTTCTTTAGCAAGCGTTCAAAGTGAGCAAAAAGTGAATGAATTGGAGAGACAGCTACAATAGATATCTCAAAGCTCAGAAGGTTTTTATTGGTTCGCAAAGAAGTATAACAATTGGCCCTGGGCAGGACAAATGGAATTCCTCCGACATTCACTTTCTCTGCGGAAAACAGATTTGCGAATACCCATGTACAGCAAATTCACCTTAATATATTTGAATTTTGTTTTTCTTTATCTTTGCCTCTTCTTAATTTGTTTAGCATTTTGTTTATTTATTTCTTTACCTTAAATCAGGATTATAAGAAAAAATAATAAACACCTCACGCAAATTGCTAGTATTTCCTTTGTTCCGAAAGTTTTTCTCCAGTTAGTAATCAGCTTTGATATTCTGAAGAAGATTGTGTAAATTTTCAAACTGCTCTTTGCTCATTCAAATGAAAAAAAGGATATTCAAATGAATTTAGTTCACGGTACAACTTATGAACTCTCCAAGCAGTTCCCTTTTCTTATTAACCTCATAAACCCATTTCCTCTTGTGCCATTGAGTCAATGCCAACAAAATAAGTACCTTTTTTTCGTCGGAAGGATTGCTATACAATTTTTGAAATATAACTGCTGAAGACATTTTTAATAAAATTTAAGTAAAAACAAAACAAATAACCGCACTCGGTCACCAACTTTAGAGCACTACAGAACGCAGCGTTGTGCCGGAGTGCATATTTGTAAACGGCAGACGCGTCTGCGAAAATTGACTCTTCCCCAAAACAATTTCGCAATAAGGACTGAATGTGTGCCATAGTGGTCTAGTGGTAAGAATTCTCGGTTTGCAAGCGGGAGGCTCGGGTTCAATTTTTTCCATGAAAAGTTATTTTTTTACAAAAATGCCCATCCTAGTTCAGCGCAGTTGGACATTAGGTTATTCGTAGGTTTAAGATTGTCTTCTCATATTGAAAAGCAAAATTGTACTAAAATATTGCCTAATTTATGGAAGAGATTTTTATTTATTTATTTGCTATATAGTTGCTTCGCCCCCAGATAGGTATCTAACACCATCTAAAGAAATACAGTTAGTAATAAATATTGAGATATCAGACCTGCAAAGAAATGAAAAGTTGAAAGACAGGGAATTCCCATTAATCAATTTGTATCAGTTTCAAACACCTAGAATTATAACAGATGTAAAAGCTACAAAATTAATTTTGCACCCTCCTAGTGAGTGCGTTTGGATACCTTCCATAAGAACATCCTGTATATAAATACGTAAATAAAACTTATTAAGAACCTATAAAGAATTCTTATAGGGGTGCAACAAACAAAGAGAACCGATCGCTGCGATTAAGGGGTGTAACTTCTAAAGAAAACTTATTTACAGAGAATAATACAATCTTCGATTTTTTTTGTTGAGTTATAGAGGCTTGAAACCCAATCGTTTTTTCTTTTGTATTTCTTACAGTAATAAAAGTCATCACCTTGATTTGGGGTATAAGGAGGGATAGAATAATATCTCTATCACCCTAAGGGCTAAACTACCCGAATTAGATCGATTAAGTAACCTTTGACGAACAATGCGGCTACGTCTAAATAGTTGAAGTCGGTCGCAAAACTGGATGCAAAGTCCACAAAGATTAAACTCACAACAAATTTCCCAAAATTGCTTTTAAATGTCGTTCATGTTAATTTGGGCCGTAGTCATGTAAGTCAAAGGTTTGCTGTTTTTGTGATTGCGCATATGATCCTTAATGGTCGAGTGTGAAATTTTACAAAACCATAACTATACACTTGTCATTAAGACATTTCGTTCTGATTTGATTGCTTTTTCTAGATAAACTAGAGACCTTTTTGTCGGAAAATGCGTATTGCTTCGTATCGTAGACCGTAGTTGTTCCCAAATTTACGGTAATTAATTTTTCTCAAAATTTATTTAATTATTTAAGTTTTCTGATTTATCCTGACGCGCATTCTAATTATTGGCGATCAACACACAACATACCTACCTCGTTCTTTCGTTTCTTAAGTTTCTTAAGTTCTGCATTATTTATATAATGTCTACCTTACTGGACTTCCAAGTATCACCAGATAAACTGTTCTCCATTAGGCAGTAAGTACATATCATTTGTATGACGAAATACAGCTTTACATTGTCTATTACATTGCAGTAATGCCCTATGCTAATAGTATACGCGTATTTTTATTTGACCCATCACGCAAACCTATGCAAAAGCCACGATACCACAGAAATTTTAGGATGCATACTCCTCGTAGACTGATTACTAGAACCCACTATATGCAATTTTAGTAGGTACTAATATATCATATAGAACACTAGTTTTATTCGGCGAGTCCAACAGTTCTTCATTGACAGCGTTTTCGAAAATCAGACGGTCACGGTACCAAAAATAACGTTGTATCTGCGATTATAGGTCAAGTACTTTTGCAACGTTGTGTACAAAACCCAATTCGCAATGAAAAATGGAAAGGACGAGCAAATTTAATTAAGTAATTAGCAGAATTCCAATCGCGGGTATTTTTCCACGTATTTTTCCCAGTTTTGTAATTTTAATGCACTAACGAACGAGTGCATTTTGTACGACGCAGGAATTTAAAATACAAGAGCGACATTTCTAAATTGCTTCATTATTCCAATCCCGTCTTGCCCTCAATGTTAGTAAAAGGGCAATAAAATTCCTATCCTCATTGGCTTTATAAACAGAGACATAATAAGAATTGGGCGATCCAAATATGAAGCAATTTACTGGCAACTGTAGAATCAATTATATATCAATGTAGATTCAATCAAGATACGGATGGAACATTTCCTGTACTAAACACATGAAAGGAGATATTGTTGAAAGAGGAAAAAGTAAACGTACATAGCGTCCGAGGAAGTGGTCGGCGTCTCGGTGCACCCTGTTAGGTCTACGAGTCGACGCCGTGGCATCCCTTACCTGAATACCATGCCAGTATATCTGCAGCATTCGTAGATACCTATTCACATGCTACAGCTTATAATACCTCATTTTCGGTGAGTGCGAAAATTTCAGCAGTTTCAGAGGTTGGCGAATAACTTTATTTTATAAACGATTAGTGCGAGCTTTGCTTTAATAAAGTTGTTATTAATTATGCCGGGCCCAAAAAACTTATTGTGACTGATGTTACCAAAACTTTTGGAATCTTTGAACGGGGTAAGTGACAGTGTAAGAATCGCAGCACTGCCCGCCAGACGTATAACAAGATTAGGACTTTTGCGTTGTGTTAATAATAAATGAATGTCCAGAATGGTGGCTCCTATTCTCATACATTTTATATAATTTAGTGACTAATGGACAAATAGTGGAATATCGATAATCGATAACCCAACCGTCTCTATTTGCTTAGTTTACTTATTCACGTTAGTATTTTGGATAATTGGTCAAGGGGCGAAGAAATTAGTAAGCGCCACGTTTCAGCTCATTTAATTAATTTTTTTAAGTGACGTATCAGTCACGATGTCAATATTAAAATGGTGTTACATTAAAAAAAATGTCAATACGTCCTTGTAATGATTAATGAGCCTTTAAGTATTCACGTGAGGGTAACTTATTCAGGCAACATACAATTTAATACCTACCTGCATTTGATAAAGTGTACGCTAATGTATATCATTACTGTAAAGTCGTATGTTTAAGGTCTTTAATGTTTACCGCTTTGAATCTACATGTTTAACTTGAAAAGTAAAAACTTCCGCAAAGTTTGCAAGTAACCTGAGTTTAAATTTAGAGCTTAACATCAACAGTTTAAAATACGTCGATGCTGTGATGAAGTTTACAACATAAAACGGCAGTCTTCCAAATACATTATGTGTAATCACTGGAAGAGAATGAAATTTTCGAACTCGCAACCTCTCAAAGATATTGGCATATTTGTAAAAGTGGTTCATTTATAACCAAATTCCGATACAGCGTTAAAACAGGAAGTTACGGTCAAATGCAGGTTTACAATAATTTGTATTTGATCCCTTGTAATTCATTATATTTTTAAGGAATCCGGAATTGGGGGTAAGTGGGCAGATTCCTCACCTTTGACGCATAACCGAGATACTAATCGCTTCAAAGACAAAAATGTGCATCGAGGTACACATTGACGGAGGAGACTATTTTGAGAATGACCTTTCGTGAAAATCTTTGGCACTTCCAAATTTATACATGAAAAAAATCAGATTTTGGTATCTTCAGGGATCTGATTTACGTACGAAATTGGAGTCGTTTCAAAAATTCCCTAATAGTGCAACCCTATAGGTAACGGATTAGGTAGTTGCTTGGAATATTTTTTAAAACTTAACCATAAACCCGCTCACATTTTCTCCTGCACGGTAATTCCTTGCGATTGAATGGCTATTGACAATTACAGGATATCCGCGTGTAGTCAAAATTGGAATGTTGGCTAACGCCCAGTTAAGCATTCTGGGATTTTCATGTCTGTTTAGAATATTCCACAAGTTTTGCATGTGACCCCCAAGGACGTATCAAGTTGTCAAATAAGGACACGCGGTTGTATCTCCGAAAGTAATAAAGATAGAATTTTGAGGCGGAAAATATTTTTTAGAGAACTAGCCACAAAAAATTGCTAGAGACTATTTTTAGCTTCGTAAGATAACCGCTAGGGAGTCAAACATTTATGCCCTAAAAATTAAAAAATTAAGAAATTCTTAATCAAACTGCTCCTATGTTGTAAAATAAGGGTGGATTAAACATGCTCGTCATCCAAATTTTTTGTTTCGTGAATTTTCAAAACCTTGGTATGGTTTAATGGTTTAATAAATGGTGATCCAGATTGGACTTGATTTGTGTTTTGGATAAAATACAATATATTTGAATAATGCGAATTGTATTGCTAATAGTGTAAAGTATGGACTTTGCAGTTATGTATCAATTAAATCATTATTTTTTTGTTATTTGCAAGATTTTCAATTAACTACTGGCGAAATTAGATCACCCACTAGTAGGCGGGGGACACTTTGTAACCCGAAGACCCAATTTTCAAATGACTATAACTTTTGTTTGAAAAGTTATTTTAAAAAGCTGTGCGACAATTTTGTTTCTTAACTCATCAAGTATCTATCCAACAAATTTCGTGGAATTCTCTCCAATTTAGTTGTCCGGCGAAGAATTGCAGTGGAACTTTTTTTTCGGATTTTCAAAATCTAATTCCAGATGCGTCTTTTCATGTTCAAAAACCCCCAGATACCAAATTTCGTCGAAATCAGAATTTTTGTTCGCATCCCCAAGTAGTGGTAGGAATTTTGAAAAAAAGTTTTCAAAATTGGATAGGGCATACCCAAAAACCTATTGAAAGACGTGCCACCCATGTTTGTAACTCTTATGGTTGCTGAGAAAAAAATTAAAGAAGAAATTCAAATTTCACCACTTCTGGCTCCCAAACGAAACACGTTGGACCATCGGTTTATTTGGAAAAAAGTGCTTGTCCTGATCCCCTCTATCACCCATTTTTTTTTACACGCGGTCATATAACACCCTGTATAAGAATAACCTAATTTCTATTTTATCCTCTATTCACAGGGGAGCCCGACCAGGCGGCACTTAGACACTGTGCCTACCCGCTTTCTTTGGCAACTAGGTTCAGAGCCCATTTCTCTAAATAAAGGATAGGACACTGTTTGACCTAAGTTGCTTCACCCTCGGTTCCAGATAGCTGTCTCTTCCTCACCTCACCTCACTCACCTAATCTATCTAAAGTCTTACCTGCAATCAAGCACCGTAGCCGATCGGAACCTGTCTGCTGACAGGGCCCTCAGCGCCGTATGTATATATGCTTGTTACGGTAACCTCTACGGATGTTCTCCTGTGCACAGGTCATGATCGATAATATCTCGGTCGGAAACACGGTGGTATGCTGACCAAGAGAGACGCTGACGTTAGCTCTCGGTCGACCTCCATATATACCCAATTACCCATGCCCTTTCTGTTAGGGACCGGTCTGTAAGCCTCACCAGCCCCTTAGATTCGAGAAACGGGCAGTCCGAGTTCAATCACTGCTCCCTGCCCAGGAGAATGACTTTATAACTCTTTTGTCTTAGTTAAGACAGCCCGTATCACATCCCAACTAGCAAGGAGGGGATCGGATCTGAGAGTTTCCTTCCAGATCCACCGGTGCACAAGGCTCCTCGACGATTCCACTCGCCCCAATCCTTTAGCCGTATGGAAGCCTTCCGAGCCTCTCCCTCCACAACTAAAAGTAAAAGACTCTAATCCCGGAAGTGCCGTCAGGGCCAGGTTTTCAGGGCTCCAGCGACCCCAGCCAGGCGAGTCTTTGGATCTTGTCTAAAAAACCTGAAAACACTGCTCACAAATTCACGGTTTTTTTAGATAAAAATAATAATAATAATAATACACAGACACTAATCGTTACTTGATTTTAATCCGTGCGATTAGTTAACCAGGCTAGACCTGAGCTCTCACAAGAAACACCGACCATAATAATAATAATGTATTTCTGTCAGTAGATCACCAACACCCAACAATAATTTACAGAATTTTCACAACTTTACGATCTGTCGTTTACAGTTGGAATGATAACAGTATAATAGGTCAGAATATTCTTTGCTAATGGATCATAAGGCTGTCGATTTAAATTTATGAGTCATAGCGTTGTAACGAGCCTTTGTTGGACGAAATTCTTTAATTGATGTGGAACCCTGGAATTCTTACAGCTACGGAGTTGGTGGGAAGTTAACAGGTGATTTTTGATGCATTCTTAAAAACCGGACGGCATGAATAAATCCACTAACAGCTCTTAGAATGGGACGTCTTTAATGATGATCGATTGAATTGCAGGATTTCGGTTGTTGATTCTTCCGATCAGTACAAATTTTTGGTTGTCAAAAGAAACTAGCACTAGCATAAACTAGTTTTTAAAGGTTTTTTCTTGAAATTTGAGGTTTAATATTTTGGAAATTTCTTTAATAAACCTCTCACATTGATCAACAAAAAATAAACATAATCCTCTAACCTTCCTCCCAGTTTTCTTTATCGCAATTTTGCTTTACACGATGATATGTAACTTTTTTTATACGTTGTGGCACTGCGTAGAGCGCGGTAAAATGTTTGTGGAATTTGCTGAATTGTACCTACTCTGTTTATGAATACGGAGGGTGTCGAATTTGCTGAACTATGATTGCTAGCTTTTAATTCCTACACGGTAATACGTAAATGTGTCTTGACGGTTTTCTATCTTAAGTTACATTTTAATGAAATACACACATAAATTTCACTAAGGGTAGCAACAGCTAACATGCACTTTTTCTATAATAATCCAACATGGAAATTTCACTTTTTATTCCACTGGGGCAAAATGATAAATTCCAGAAGACTAGTGGATAAATCTAGACACTGATTGTCGCTTTGATCTGGATTAACTTTTTCTTCGAATTTCGGTTTTCCCGAACGCCAAATGGAATTATTTTGCCTCTAAAGAGCCGCTGTACCAAACGCCGTACTGACCAAACGCCAAGCTCTCGTATTGACTCTTTGGATGCCAAAAGGAAACTCTCTTTTCTGGTTGATTGCCAAAACCAGAATCAATAATTTCGTGCAACCCTCTTCACCTCTCTATACCAAGCTGTCTTCAAAAAGCCTATTCTATGGTGGAAAGCAATGGCGGTGATATTTCGTTAATTTTCATTGGTTTGCGAACTGTAAGGTTGTCTGCAAAAACGCTGATACAACAGACCTTTACCTATCTCTCTCCCAAATTAGCTTAATTCGCAGTGTAAAATTTGAAATATTATATAACTTCTTTTTATTGTGTAAAACGAAACTGTTTGCAGTCAATGAGGCGCCAAATGTGATAAAGCTTTCTGAAATATAATCGACAAAATAAAAACATGACATGATTAATATTTGTTTGGTTGATTGTGATTGCAACCTTGACCATTTATAAACTTGTAAAACTTTACCTTCCGCATATTTCCTAATGTAAATCATGCGAGCGTCACTTGTAGAAAGAAATTCGTCCACAAATTGTGGCTAAGATAGACGCGAAATATCTTCGTAAAAATTGTAATTGATTTGGGCCAACAAAAAATTACTCAACATTAGCTTTAAAGAGCACATGTGGATCACTTTAAATAGAAAAGAGGGGACAAGTCTATCGTTACAACACATATGCTTGCAACTAACCACCAAAG